CTGTTCAAAAACTCATCTGATTAATCAGTTAATGGGCCAGCTAATCGCTACTCATAGGGTGGCCAAATCAAATAGTGCTTATTCATCATATTAACTTGTGAAGCTGATTAATTGGCCTATCAGACTGATTAATTGGTTGTTAGGCTGATTAATCGCTGCTTACCCATTAACTTGTGGACAAATAAAGCTTAAAATTTTGCCCTGTAACCCTCCCATCCCCCTCTCGCTCCTCAATAGCTAGGGGTTCAACAAAACAGTAGCATATTTTGGTATATTACGTAGTAGAGAACATGAGAGTATGGGATAATACATAAAAAAACTATCGCTCTATATATGTTGGCAAGTTTCTATTTAATCTACCGATCAATGTTGGACCAATTAATCTAGTTAATAGGCCGATTCAACGATTAATCGTTACTCCCAAGCCGATCGAGTAGCTACCAGTTACCGATTTCCTGAACAATGGCATTAAAGGACTTCGTGTGTATAGTTCAAAGTGGACGCCGTGAACAATCTCATCTTTCAATGTAAACAATCATTTTAGATGCCATTCAAGCAAGTGACGAACAATCGTTTCAGTTGATACTTTGTAGGATGTATGCATCAACTATTGCAGAGCACAGGGGTCAGGGGTTTACCCTTATTTAATTTTGAAAAACAAAAAAACACAAACTATCGTGAGGACGGGTAAGCAGTAACTACACAATCGTTTCAGTTGGTATCCGACCAGCTGACAAACACCTCCCCAACACTGGTGTCGAGCCCGAAGGCCTTCCACACGGCAGCCGACGTGCTGATCTCGTTCTGACCGCAGCCACTTTCACGGCCGCACTCGTCCACGACCTTGGCCACCACATAGTGCCCGTCCGCACTCCTGATGCGGATCGTCTTGCCGCACCGGTTGCCAGGCCCATACCACATCGAACCCAGCGACACCAGGAATTGGTCATCGCTGTGGTACTGGCCGTCGCAGCTCGCCGGCCCGCCCTCCTCCCCTTTGTCGAAGCCGTTCACCGACATCACTGCCGAGAAGGTGTAGATTTGTCCTGAGGCACACCACACCTGCAGGAAAACAAGAAAGCCAAAGACGGCCACGACCTTGGTGGTGCTGGCCATGATGGTTGAGCGAGCCCCTGCTAGCTCGCGTTTGTAAGCTATCTTGGGTTGCCGTGTGTGCTTTCGGCTTTGCGTTCTCTTCGTGACTGTTGGTTGGAGGTGTACACTTGTTTATGTATGTAGGCTCGTGTTGCATACTTCAGACAAAACGACGGATGTGCCTACACATTTGCATGCCACCCGCCCTCGTGTGAATCGCCAAACACCACGTCCAAGCCTGCACACAAAACAAACTCTAATCTCTTTCTCTCGGCTACTTCACACAAGAAAATGCAGGAGACGAGAGTTTGGCCGCTTCTTCCTCTGTTTCTCTTGTACTGAAGCAAACATGATTACAGCTCTCAAGTACTCCCTCCGTTTCTAAATATAAGTCTTTGTAGGGATTGCACTATGGACTACATACGGAGCAAAATGAGTGAATCTATATTCTAAAATGCATCTATATATATCCGTATGTGGTTCATAGTAAAATCTTTATAAAGACTTATATTTAGGAAAGGAGGGAGTAACACACATGCATGCATGCAGCAAGAGCAAAAAACTAGAGAGGGGCAGTCTTGCTGCAAACTTGAACGACGGCAGCATGTCTGTAATTGTAACTGAGCTCTTTAAATCTCTTAAGTAATAACTATTCCCTCCGTTCGGAATTACTTGTCGTAGAAATGGATGTATCTAGACATTTTTTAGTTCTAGATACATCCATTTCTGCCACAAGTAATTCGGAACAGAGGGAGTAGCACATATGCCCGTGGGTTGCAACGGGGAGATAATTTTTTTTGCAACAAGCAGCGGAAGAGATAATTGATTTGTTCATTAGAAGTAGTTTCCATGGCGGTGGGTGACAGAGCGAGTAGCTGCGGTCTTCTCACGGGTCATGCTTGGCATGTGAGATCTTGATAGTGGTGTGGTTGGTCGGCATGGCGGCGACCACCTAATGGGTACCTTTTTTTTCCACCGGGTCCACCTCCGTCTTAATTGTGGTTGTGTTCTCATTTGGTTGCTGCGCGGCGACCTTCGGGGCATGGTTGTTTCGAACACTTTCTCCTACGACGACGTAATCAGATGGATTACTAATTACAGCGCATAAATTATGTTGCATTAGAATAATCAGCGCATAACCAGGCATGAATGTCCCTTCATTATCAGGGTTTATTCTCTTCAACTATTTTTGCGCGTGCAAAACCAATATATTCTGTTCTATTAGCACGTGCCCACACCCATTATAGCCAACCAACATATTGTCTTCTATTAGCACGTGCAAGTAATCTCCGGCAATAATTTGTGGAGTAACTCATTCTACTCATAATTCTCGAGACAACTTCCTTATTCTCACACAACCTCCTTATTTCCAGACAACTTAGAGAAATATAAAAACATGTGTGATTTAGTATAAAATTCCAAGATGGGACCATTCCTATCATGATTGCAAGCTAGTTGAGTTGGTTTTAGCCATCGGCACAATAGGGAAGGTCCATAGTTCAATTCCCTCGTGCCCTTTAATTTGTGTTGCTCGTCCGTCCGATAGAAAAAGAAATACATGGTAGCTCCAATTTGGCCCACCCGGGGGATAACCGAAAAAATTGGGGAGCTACGTGGGGCAGCTGCGTGGGAGCTACTATATGACGCTAACTACGTCAAATAGCGCATGGGACGCACAATAGTTCGCGTCTGGGCCAGCCCACTGGCATGCACCGAAATAAGCTGTGTTTACAAGGCACGAGTAATAATCCAAAATAATGGCATGTTGAATGATTGAACATAAAACCTTAAAAACCGGATCACGTGCCGCTAGCCACGACTACAAACGCCTACTGCTAACCGATAGCCAACGTGAATATTTAAGAACATAGTGTAACGTCGGATTTAAAATCTTTTCCGAACCCTTTTTTAAATACAAATTGCCGAATATTCTTGGAAACGTGCATATTTGTTGAAATTACGACCAATATTTTTAATATTCCGTCCTTTTTGGAAAAAATATGAACAAAATTGGAAACAACATCATTTTTTGAAGAAATGAACCATTTATCAATACCCAAACATTTTTTTAAATTTTGACCAACTTTTGAAAACGGAATATGTTTTGAACATTCAGAACAATTTTATAAAATGTATTTTTCACCGCGGACGTTATTTTGAATATGTGAACATTTTATTAAAACGGGAATATATTTCAAATTTCAAATATTTTTTAAATACATGTTTTTTAAATGGCAAACAATTTTGGAATATTTCTGAATTTTATAACAATCAGAACAAGAAAGTAAATTAATGTTCCAAATATTTTTGAAAAGGAGAAGACAATATTGTAATTCAAACCTTTTTCGAAAATTTGACAAAATATAAAAAAATTCTAAATTTTTTTGAATTATTATATAAAGTAAAAAATAAAATAAATTTGGACGAAAGCCAAAATGGGCCGGCCCAGCCTTGGCCTCCCGGTGCGAGCTCGGACTATCTACCGCATCAGACAAGAAATAGGTATTTTGCAGCTACATGGGCAGGCAAATAAGTGGGCTGGTTTCGCTGGGCCACAGCGTGTGCGAGCCTAGTACAAAATTCTGTATTGTTAAAAAAACAGACAGACGCACAAAATTTAGTACCACCTCAGATAGAAAATTAAATTTCTACGGTGAACGGATGAAAAAATTACCGAAATAGACCTTATTTTATTAGTAGGTATAGAAAAGCACCCCTTTTCAGAAAAAATTGTAACTGAGCTCTGATTAAACTTGCTTGTCCCAAAAGCTGTGAAATAGCACTTGCTAAAGACCCCAGAGGCAGCTACATTTCGAGAGTCCAAGGAAATGAACACCAAAATGGCAAATTATGCTTTGCAGCCACATAACAAATTGCGACCAACTTCACAATCACATGTAGCGGTTCTTATCAAACTACTCCCTCCGTTCCCAAATATTCGTCTTTCTAGGCATTTCAAATGGACACAACATACGGAGGTATGTAAACATATTTTTAGAGTGTAGATTCACTTATTTTGTTCCGTATGTAGTCATTTGTTGAAATCTCTAGAAAGACAAATATTTGGGAACGGAGGGAGTAATATTTAGCAAACGCACACACGGGTGCTTCTAAGTTCACTTCAAATACATTCATGGCAAACACTCGTAAGAGGAGGAGAGGGTCAGACTCACTCATATAGTGTATCAAACAACAATCCTTACAAGCATGTGGCCAGGTGGATGCAATGCAGCAGCAAAGCTACACATCGGCATGGTCTGGGCATGTACACACAAGCACATACCAGTCAGCTTTTTATTCCAGAGCCACAAAGGCTAGCGAGAGCCACCAAAAGCTCACGCCTGACACAACAACCCACCTGAAGGGCTAAGCTTTTCCCTCCATGTTTGCATTGACAGCCAGCCAAGAACCAGGAGGTGTCTGGCTATCCACGAGAGCACACGAAAAGGCCAAGCGCGTGCAGCAGCAGAAACAACCATAGGAGCACAACCATCCATCCAAGTCCCATGTCATGGTGGAAGAAACACATCGGTGCAGAATTCACCTAAACAGCAAGTGTAGACGACGCAACGAAAAGGGTTGAGTAAGTAAGTCTATATGCGATCAGTGGTAGTGTAGAAACGAAACTGAGATGGAATCATAAATGTGCATGAGTACTTACTACCTGAGGACGGAGACCCTGGGCAGTTTCTTCTTGTATCGGGGTGTCCAACTGTCAGGGTGGTGGCCAGCATCCACCTCGACACAGACATCCTTCTCGATCTCTATGTCATCGGTGGCCACAACCGGCAGCGGATGACACAGGTTCCAGCATCTTCTGATCACGATGGTCTTGACTGCCGGAGCCACCATCTTGAACTCGCATATCTGCTGCAGCTCCGGTAGGTCATGAAGGTGGATGGTGGTCAGCTTTGGGAATATAGTACACCCTGGACGGCTATTTCTTCTGGGTGCTCATTGTCCAGTGTGAAGTTGTGCTTGAGGTTGCTGCAGTGGATAATGTATAGTGTCTTCAAGCTAGGGAAGGAGGGGAACCACACCGGGAGCACAAACTGGAGGCTGGGGCAGGAGCGCACATGTAGGTGCTGCAAACTTCTGAAAGTACCATCGGTGAAGTGGTAACCTTTACTGCAGATCCAACGGGCCATTAGGAGATGCGACACCCACAAAGTCTCTAGCTCCAGCAATCCGTCCTGGCTCGTTTGGAAGACCGCATCCACCTTGGAGCACCTCTCAACGCAGAAGTGCCTAAGCTTGTTCCCCCAAAATGGAGGAGTCACAATAGCACATACCGGGACATCATGCACGTGCACCGATTCAGCGTATAAATCCATCAGGCCACCTAGACCTCCATATTTGTCCAACTCGCTCTCCAAGAAATCACTCCCTTCAGCGATCTCGACATGCCGATCCAACTTCATAGGCGGAGGCGGGAAAGCCTGCATTGGGAGTGAGGCATCACCAATCATGCTACTGACATCGCTGTATCGGTGTGCTGGAACAAGCTGATTCAGGCTCTCTTCTTCAGAATGACCAATCTTATCACTGCATGGTGCTTCCGGTTGAACAGGCCCAACAGACACAGGTGAGGAGGTGACTTGGATATCAAAACAAACATCTCTGGGGCTATTCATACCATAATATATTAAAGAGTGCAATGACCGGACTAGCCTTGCATCGGCTATTATAGCATTCACCTGCAACTGGGAGGAATTGTTCTCTTCAATAGTTGACCGATGACACGTAGCTCCAGTTCGTGTGTCTATGTACAGCAACTCCAGGTCCAGATTTCTCTCAAAGTCACTCTTGCCTGGAAAATTTATTGCACGAAGGTGCTCACATCCAATAAGAAATAGCCGCTTGAGCCCTGGGACTTGCACCACCATAGTTTCGAAGTCTAGTATCTTGATCGCAGTTCCAGAGAGGTCCAACTCCAAGAGGTTGGGTAGCCCACGCAGGAACAAAATTTTCAACTGTTTACACCCTGCTAAGGAGATCTTGGAGACTTTGATATCCCTATTATTTGTTTCTGTTGTCGTAGGTGGACAAAAATGTTTGAAAGGTAATTCAATGCTTGGTGTCCATTCGAAAGCTGGGCCATAACCATCAAAGCTGAAGGACTCAATGGACGAAGGAAGCCCACCAGTGCCATCAATGTTTTCCACCCCATCACAACCGTCAAGTACAAGCACTCGAGGTCCACTCGCCTTTGATAGGCTTGTCGGCAAAACTTCCATCTCGGTGTTACCTGATAAATCAAGTATCTCTATCCTTGTCTTATCCATAAAGGAGTTACCAACATCCCTGGATGTCTCCCACTGATATGTTGGTTTGATTATTCGGAGCCTTTGAAGGTTAGGTAGCCGCCCTTGCAAGTCAGCGGTGTACTGCCAACACCTTGTTCCCTCTATATTGAGCTCTTTGATATTAGCCATGAGATCCATCTTTTCTTCAGATAATATTTCATTCCAGTCTGTGTAACGAAGGTCTAACACCCAGAGGCTATACAAACATGCCCACTCTGTATGATCCTCTCCGTCACCAAATTGGTCATCTATACAATGATCCAGTCCAAGGAATCTTAGGCGGCTGCTTTTGAGGAAAGGAGGTGCCGCAAAACTGAAGGCACAAAAACAGAGAACTAACACACCAAGGTTGTTGGAATGCTCAAACAAGCCACTTGGTAACGGTAATGGGCAATCCGGTCTTTCAAATGCCAAGAAGAAAGATGATGCCGCTGCAGGTATAGTTTGCAAACCATGTAATTTCATATTCATCGATGTGACTGATATCCAGCAGTATGGCCCTTGTTCATAGACATCGCCATCTTCAAGTATCAGAAAAGGAGGCTTCATACGTTTCAAGAACTTTCTAGCCAAAGGAGCATCACACTCCCAATTTAACTTTCCATGCAACTCAACACTAATAGCCCTTGCTCTGTCCCCTTGTATAATCCCATCGCACATACAACAGTTGGAAGCATGAGCAACCCAGTGAAAGGTGTGGAAGTTACAATGCAGGAATAACTCATACAGACAACAATCTGCAACCATTGTTGGGTCGATGTCCACAATACATGGACTACGAGCAACTATGGCAGCAGCCTCTTCATGTAGTATTGCTTGAAACACTGAACTTGTTAGTGGTATGATCGCAGGGTGGATATAAGCATGAGTGTATCTTAGCTTGTCTGCTATCTCATCATGCTGGTGATTCATGGTCAGGAATCTTTTTTTGAAGGCCCATATCATCATGTTGTCACTAAATCTTGCAAATGGGGGACCAAAGGCTCCTATGTCAAACTCAACATCACTTCCATTAAGAAAAATCATCATAAATTTGCTGCCCCTCAGGGCCTGATTAATCATTAGCCCAACTCTTTCTATTCTATCCCTTGAACTTTCATCAACTCCACTAAAATCATCATCTTCATCTTGCTTGTCTAGAATGGATATCACCGAGTGGTCAAGTTTCAGCTCCTCTGCAATTAATGTCTGCATTGTTCTTTCACTTTTCCACTCTGAGCAGTCTATATGAATTATTCTGTCAAAGCATAGTTCTGGAGCGGTTCTCACAGACGGAAGCACTTTCGCTATAGATCGCAGAACTGCCGACACCCCAAATCCACCCCAACCATCAAAATAGATGATCCTTACACTGCGGTCCATCATCGGAAGAACTCGAAATATCTCCTCTCTCGCTTCATCAACATCTTTCACAAATATCTCCTATAATAAAATAAAATAAAAGGAAGAAACTGTAAGTCAGTCAGAACACCTTTGCTAGCTACAACATTAATTAAACAAGTACTAACGTGTACTCTAAGTTCTGAGTACTACCACCATATCACAATGTAGGTCGTTTAAAAGTTTAGCAGAGTTAAGACTCTAGATAAATTACCATATTTACTCTTCCATTATTAGAACTATTACTAATGTATTTCACTACTTCCAGTTCCAAGCATGAAATTACACAGGAAAAAAAAAGGAAAAACAACATTAAAATTGTACAAATAATTTTGAGAGGCACAGGGGAGTGATATTTAATGGGGTTCATGGTGAACAAACAAATGTAGGTCTTTGGAACACTCACATGATTCGCATCTACTGCTTAGGCGAGGCCAATTACATAGCAATTACGGTGAGGAACATTTAATGATCTACCTGTCGTTTATTGTCATAAATATAGGTCCTTTTAGTATTCCTAACTTGTCTCAAAATAGGAATCCTTCTACATACCTATGGGTTTCAGCTCATTTTGTTAAATAAATAAATTGGCCCAGTAGCGCTCTGGCATATATGACTCTTAGCAGTGATTGCAACACTATCTAGAGACCACCATGTTTCTTTACCCAGTGTTTCCCAACCTAGTGTCCCCTTCCATCGATGAGATCGAAAAATATATATCATGCAAGCATGACTTAGGTTGATGTAGAGAAATATTGGCATACATGACCACGAGATGCTCAACATAAGATAACTCATAGCCAAAGAAAAATCATGGACAAGAACATTACCAATTTAGGAAGACTCATGATGAATTCCTCTGCCGAAGGCCAGGAGAGAAGCAGCAGAAAATTTAATAATCTAAACCATCACTGAAGATTTCTTGCCAGCACCTACTCTTGCACAACAGAATGGTAACGCGTTAGTTTTGTGCTTGACCACTCAAAGAATTAGTGCTACTTATGCAACAGAATACTTGAAGGGCACAAAGAAAGGAAGCTAGAAAATGTTGTTGTATGTATGTGCATACCTCAACGGGAGAAGAGCAGCTTGAAGCACAGAAACTTGGACTGAAATTTCGGAAATAGTCTGATCAACTTATGCTACACTGCTAGTGCACCACCAGATTAGAGTGGAAATGGAAATATGCAACAATTGCAGTTTGCGCTCCAAAGCTAGAAGTACGCGTTGGACCCTAGAAATTTGCCTCCTCACCCTGATTAAAGCATCTAAGATTCTTTGCTTGTTGCCTTCGCACTGGCCATAGAGCCCTTTGCTTCATGCTACCCTTTTCCTCTTTGCCAAAGCATGAAGCAAAGTGCTGCTTTATTCTTTTTCCTTTTCTTATTCATTTTCTAAAGATGATTCTTACAACCATGCAGAGATACAAATATCCTGTCTTGGCCCTTGCAAAAATCCTTTTTCCATGTGTGAACCGCAAGCCTACATGATATGAACCTTTTGTTTCTGACCTGATGAGTGAGTGATGAATAACAAAAATGAACCGTCAAATAAACCCAGCAAGAAAACATTTCAGCATGGATGCACTTTTTTGTTTTCGTCGTTAATGCACAATCTCTGTGGTTAAAAGATCCAAAGCTCTTACTGAATTCATCGACATCAGAAATCTGAATTCATTAACTGTGGCTATACTTTCCCTCAATACATAAGGAATAAGATCAAATAGATGTTGCACCAGTCACTAGTAGAAAAGGGGGCATTGGTCCAGGCCGGGTCAACCCATTAGTCCCGGTTCAATCCAGAACCGGGACCAATGGTGGCATTGGACCCGGTTCGTGAGCCCCGGGGGCCGGCCGGGCCACCTGGGCCATTGGTCCCTGTTCGTCTGGACCTTTTGGTCCTGGTTGGTGAGACGAACCGGGACCAATGGGCCTTGCTCCTGACCCACCACCATTGGTCCCGGTTGGTGCCACGAACCGGGACCAAAGGCTGCCCTTTAGTCCCAGTTCAAGCCACCAACCAGGACCAATGAGGTGCCTATATATACCCCCTCGCGTAAGAGCAGAGCACACTGCTCTGTTTTTTGTGGCAGCCGAGGGGGAGAGGGCTTGGTGGTGCTCTAGCTCACCTCCTATGCATACAAGGTGTTCGATGGAATGCCCGAGCCACACTACTTAAGCTTTCTCCTCTCCAAGCTCGACCTCCAAGCTCCATTTTCATCAATATTTGTCTAGGTTTAGCGGTCCGTCACGCCCCGTACCCGTCTTCACCGCCGTCGATCACCCGCGCCGATCTCATCACCGGCACCACCGTGGTGAGCCTCTTGTTCTTATCTTCTTTCTGAAAGGAAAACTATTCTTACTTGTATGTTTAGATAGGTACTTGTATTATTTTCTTACTTTTATTATTGCATCTTATATAGTGTGATGGTTTTGGTATCCGCCCCTGTCGGCCCTCGTCCTGTCTATGATTCGGATGTGGTATATATTATCTTTTCATAACTGTTGGCTCATTTATTGTTTATGAAAATTATGTCGACCAACATGACATAGATTTTATTTATCTAGGAGGTTGTTGAACCGGAAATTCCAACCGACCCTATTGTCGAGAGGTTAAATTTATTTGAAGAAGAAAACAATTTCTTGAAGGAAAAAATAAGAAAAATTGAGGAGGAGGAGATGATATTGGAGTTGCATGTTGCGGATGTCATCGATGATCACAAGATCAAGATGGATGCAATGCGCTTGAAGATTAGAAAGATAAGAAAATATGCCATTCATACCGAGGCTTGGTATCATTATGCCGTTGGATCAGTTGTTACCTTGGTTGCGATTATGATCGCATTTGTTTTCGCATTGAAATGTTTTACATAGTTTCAATGTATGGTTTAATTAATTTAGATGCTCTGCAGATCTTTATGTTGTTCTGTAGTGATTTTCGCTTGAAGATGAGAATTATGTATGTACTTTGGTTTTAATGTGATGATGAACTTCTATTAATTTGGTCACTTAGTTATCTATTCATGATGTTCTGTAATGATTTTTGACACAATTAATTATATATAATGCACGCAGATGAACCGGCAATGGATGTACGGTAACAGACACACCTCCGAGTACATTAAGGGCGTGCATGATTTTCTCGAAGTGGCTGAGGCAAACAAGCAGAATGGTTTTATGTGTTGTCCATGCCCTATATGTGGGAATACGAAGTCTTACTCTGACCGGAAAATCCTTCACACCCACCTGCTTTACAAGGGTTTCATGCCACACTGTAATGTTTGGACGAGGCACGGACAAATAGGGGTTATGATGGAAGACGGCGAAGAAGAAGAGTACGATGACAACTATGTGCCCCCTGAATACGGTGATGCTACTGAACATCAAGAGGAACCAGACGATGTGCACGATGATGATGCAACGGGCGAAGCTGCTGAAGATCAAGAAGAACCAGACAATGTGCCCGATGATGATGATCTCCGCCAGGTCATTGTCGATGCAAGGACGCAATGCGAAAGTCAAAAGGATAAGCTGAAGTTCGATCGCATGTTAGAGGATCACAAAGAAGGGTTGTACCCCAATTGCGAAGATGGCAACACAAAGCTCGGTACCGTACTGGAATTGCTGCAGTGGAAGGCAGAGAATGCTGTGCCAGACAAATGATTTGAGAAGCTACTGAAAATATTGAAGAAAAAGCTTCCAAAGGATAACGAATTGCCCGACAGTACATACGCAGCAAAGAAGGTCGTATGCCCTCTAGGATTGGAGGTGCAGAAGATACATGCATGCCCTAATGACTGCATCCTCTACCCCCGGTGCGTACACGGATCTGAACGCATGCCCGGTATGCGCATTACGGTATAAGATCAGACGAGATGACCCTGGTGATGTTGACGGCGACCCCCCCCCCCCAGGAAGAGGGTTCCTGCGAAGGTGATGTGGTATGCTCCTATAATACCACGGTTGAAACGTCTGTTCAGAAATGGAGAGCATGCCAAGTTGATGCGACGGCACAGTGAGGACCGTAAGAAAGACAGGAAGTTGAGAGCACCCGCTGACGGGTCGCAGTGGAGAAAAATCAAGAGAAAGTATTGGGCTGAGTTTGCACGTGACCCAAGGAATGTATGGTTTGCTTTAAGCGCGGATGGCATTAATCCTTTCGGGGAGCAGAGCAGCAATCACAGCACCTGGCCCGTGACTCTATGTATGTATAACCTTCCTCCTTGGATGTGCATGACGCGGAAGTTCATTATGATGCCAGTTCTCATCCAAGGCCCTAAGCAACCCGGCAACAACATTGATGTGTACCTAAGGCCATTAGTTGAAGAACTTTTACAGCTGTGGAATGGAAACGGTGTACGTACGTGGGATGAGCACAAATAGGAGGAATTTGACCTAAAGGCATTGCTATTCGTGACTATCAACGATTGGCCCGCTCTCAGCAACCTTTCGGGACAGACAAACAAGGGATACCACGCATGCACGCACTGTTTACTTGACACCGAAAGTATATACCTGGGAAGCTGCAGGAAGAATGTGTACCTGGGCCATCGTCGATTTCTTTCGACCAACCATCAATGTCGAAAGAAAGGCAAGCATTTCAAAGGCGAGGCAGATCACCGGAAGAAGCCCACCATGCGTACCGGTGATCACGTAATTGCTATGGTCAATGATTTACAAGTAATCTTTGGAAAGGGTCCCGGCGCACTAGCTGTTCCGAATGACGCTGGGGGACACGCACCCATGTGGAATAAGAAATCTATATTTTGGGACCTACCCTACTGGAAAGACCTAGAGGTCCGCTCTTTAATTGATGTGATGCACGTGACGATGAACCTTTGCGTGAACCTGCTAGGCTTCTTGGGCGTGTATGGAAAAACAAAAGATACAACTGAGGCACGGGAGGACCTGCAACGTTTGCACGAAAAATACGGCATGCCTCCAAAGCAGTATGAAGGTCCTGCCAGCTATGCTCTTAACAAAGAAGAGAAGGAAATCTTCTTTGAATGCCTGCTTAGTATGAAGGTCCCGACTGGCTTCTCGTTGAATATAAAGGGAATAATAAATATGGCAAAGAAAAAGTTTCAGAACCTAAAGTCTCATGACTGCCACGTGATTATGACGCAACTGCTTCCGGTTGCATTGAGGGGGCTTCTACCGAAAAACGTCTGATTAGCCATTGTGAAGCTATGTGCATTCCTCAATGCAATCTCTCAGAAGCTGATCGATCCAGAAATCATACCAAGGCTAAGGAGTGATGTGGTGCAATATCTTGTCAGTTTCGAGCTGGTGTTCCCACCATCCTTCTTCAATATCATGACGCACGTCCTAGTTCATCTAGTCGACGAGATTGTCATTCCGGGCCCCGTATTTCTACACAATATGTACCCCTTTGAGAGGTTCATGGGAGTCCTAAAGAAATATGTCCGTAACCGTGCTAGGCCAGAAGGAAGCATCTCCATGGGCCATCAAAAAGTGGATGTCATCGGGTTTTGTGTTGACTTCATTGCTGTCCTTAAGAAGATAGGTCTCCCTAAATCGCGGTATGAGGGAAGACTGACTGGAAAAGGCACGCTTGGAAGGGACTCAATTATATGCAGGGAGGATATTCTTGGTCTCAAGCACGCTACACAGTTCTACAGAACTCTACCTTGGTGACCCCATATGTCGATGAACACAAGAACAGTCTGCGCTCCAAACACCCGGAGCAGTGCGGCGACTGGATTACATGTGAACACATAAGGACTTTCAGCAGTTGGGAAAAGCAGCGGTGTCCGCTTTGATGCAACAACCGAGAGGGGAAAGGACACGTATTATGGTTACATAATGGACATATGGGAACTTGACTA